AACTACTACTTTTCTCTTGCTTATTCTCAATTAAATAAGCAAGTTGAGACTTCAAACAAAGTCATCTTTGATGGCATAAAGAAAAAGCTACAAACAACCAAAGGAAGGTAGATGTAGCAACTTCCAATGGTTCTCAGGATGTAGCAAATAACACTAAGGCACACTATTGGGGAGATGCCTTTCTCACACTATTGTTTTAAACAATGAGATGGTTGGATAACCATCAAAGTTCTTTTCTCATATTCAATACCCTAGATTTCAAGAGAAATGAGTTTTTCTCTTGATTTCTCATTTATTCTTGATTTCAAAACTTTAGTGTTTCGTATTGAACAACACAATAGTATTTATGATGATCTCTTGTTAATTTTTCTTAAATTATTCCATTGTGAAATAAATATGGATGTGAAAAATTGAGAATTTATGGAATTGAGTGTATTTGAGAAATTGTTGGTGATTGTATCTCATAGAGGTGTTTGGATGACCATGGGTGGCCATTGACCAAGTATCGTAGAGTGAGTAAATGTGTATGGTTCTTACTCCGTGTGAATTTGAACTTTTTCTACCACTCGTAGTGGGGTTGGTGCTTTGCGAGGACCAAACCACTATTAGCTCACGGGTGCCGTGTTAGAGGATTAGTATACTATGCCTGGGTCGAATTCGTTATTGTCGGTGCATTGGTATGGGACAATGCATCGGTAGACGCCCTTCCCGAAGTTGATATCCTTGTGAGGAATTGTGTGTGTGTGGGTCAGGATATTCTCTATGTGTTTATTCATGTGATTATCTTACATCAGACTTGAGATACATTGTGGTTATTGTTTATTACGTTATCTTTTGGATATGATTATCTTGGAAATTGTTGTGGGAATAATTATTCTTTGGAATGGTTATTTATGGTGGGATTGACTTTACTCTTGTACTTAATTATTTTTAATGTATAAACTTGAGATCTTTGAAAATGTCATGATTTCTTTCAAAATTTACGTATGCTATTTGTAAAATGAGACCGACCATTTTCTACGTTTTTCAAACCTTGTTAGAGTTTGAGAGGATTTTTTTACAGTGCTTAGTGCTTACCCCCTACCAAGAATGTTTTTTTTTTTTTTTTTTTTTTTTTTTTTTTTCAGATTTTGTGCTAGAGGAAGATCCCGGTGTTGACGCGTCGGGAAATTGGGAGATTCCACCAGAGGGGAACCTAGATCCCGAGGTGGACATCTAGAGCTATAGTTTATTTTTTGTGCTAAATTAGGGAATTTATTTACGATCATGTATAGTCTAGTATTTTGTTTATTCTGTTGCTAAGTTTGAGTGTAATTCTTTTGGAATGTAAGTGTCATAGCTTGACCTATTCTTTTGGGATGATATTGTGGATATTACATGTGGTGAATGAAATTTTATTATTTAATGGGTAAATGGAGCCGGTGTGATCAATATTTATTCATATATGGACCTGGTGTAGTCAATGTAGTATAATTGCACAGGTTGTGTTTTGAGTAGAGCTCCCCGTACAAAGGAGACTCTGCCCAAATTTTGTTAAATTAAGGACTCCCAATTTTTGGGGTGTTATAGATTTGATATCAAAGTCTAGAAATTAGGTTTTACATGAGAGCTGTAGGTTATGGATTACCACTAGAAAAGTAGGACTAGGTTAAAGAAAATTGTTGATCTAATTTTATATGAACCTTATGCTTTAGATCAAAGTGATAACTAGGATGTCTTGTACATCAATGAAACTAAATTATGAATTGATGTGCAGGATGGACGATGGACGATGAACGTGGACGTGGGCGTGGTCGAGGAGGACAAACAAATCCACCACCACCTCCCGATGCCATAAGCAGCATATATCAATGTTTAAGGAAGCTCACCACTTTGGTACAAAACCAGAATGAAAACAACAACCATAATGGTGGAGCTCACCCCCTAGCATAAGTGTCGGGCAATGGGGATGACAACCGGAGTATGGTAACACTTTAGGAATTTCTGAGGCAACACCCGCCTACCTTCCAAGGGAGCTCCAACCCTTTGGATGCGGATAGATGGATCTGCTGGGTGAAGAAGATTTGTGACGGCATGGGAGTTACCGAAGACTTGAGGGTTAGCTTAGCTACCTATTTGTTTGAGGGGGAGGCCGACCATTGGTGGGATTCGGTAAAGAGACGGAGAAACACAGATTCATTTACTTGGGAGGAGTTCGATCAAGTATTCCAAGACAAATATTTTTCTGAGTCGATTAGAGACAAGATGAGTGCCGATTTCCTCGCTCTTCGACAGGGTAGTTTGACAGTGGGGGAGTATGAGAGAAAATTTGAGGAGTTGTCCAGATATGCCATGAAATTCATATCCACAGAGGCCAGGAGGGCCAAACGTTTTGAGCAAGGCTTGAGGCCGGCCATTAGGGAGAAGCTTGTGACTCTTAGGATCCGTGACTATGGGGATGTTGTGGATAGGGCTATGTTGGTGGAGAGAGACATGGAAAGATAATCAACAACGACAGAACCTTATGAGGGGAGGTCCGATTAGGACGGGTGCTAGTAGCAGTGGAGCACAGAGAGTGGCACCTTACCGTCGCCCAAATCAGATAGTTGGACAGAGACCATAGACATCTCGAGGGGCAGAAGGAGTACCAGAGAGAGTAGACACCGACCCACGTCGATGCTTTGCATGTGGAGGTGTTGAGCACTTCAAAGATAATTGCTCATTACTTTCAACCAAAACCAACCAAGCAACAGGGCGGGTGAATGCAAATAAGCCACCGCTACAAAGGCCACTACAACAGCAGAGACCGCTGCAAAGGTCACCGCTAAACAATGTCGTGGGCAAAGTAAGTCTCGTACAATGGCTACCAAGTGTCAACTAAGAATGGAATTAAATTCATTTCATACTTTCCTGAAAGCTTACCAAAAGCGAATGTTGAAGCAATAAATTGATCAATTCACTATTAGGCATTCTTGGCTTCTTCTCTTTATCCTCAGAAAGTATGACAGCACGACCCATTACACTTGTTGTATCCACACTCTTAAAGGCAGACTTCACTCACAGAGGAAGTTCTACAACTATGTCATCATCAATAAGATAATCAGCTCCCAAGCACCGACAATTGGCGACTTCAAGGCGGCGACAACGGCCACTTCTCCAATGGTGGAACCTTCTCCTCTCCTTCAAAGAGCTCCAAGCTATGCCAAAAAGGAAAAAAAAAAGAAAAGCAATATGAAGAAGTGGATAAGACGGAAAAGAAGAAATAAGAGATTATGGAGCCCCAAAAAAAACAAAATCCCATTGGCAAAGAGCCAAACCCCAAAAGCCTCCTATTCAAGAAAACATACCTCAATTAATTAAAGATGATTAAATGAGATATAGGGGGCAATTGTGGGACACCGAGTCAGGCATGTCGATCGGCACCTATCTTGGGAAGTTCTTGCCAGTCGGCACCCACCATGGGAGGAGCATGCCGGTCAGCACTCACTTCCCGAAGCCACCTTAATTCGGCAACCTTACATCCAATCAAGCTACTACAAGTTTTCTTGCTCATTTGCATGTCCGTACGACCAAACGAGTCCTACTCTAATACGATTTGACCAAGGAACAAGAGTCGTGTTCTAACACTACTCCGAACTTTTAAGGAGCTAGTGATAGGATAAATGGCGCCACCCGACAAGTACATCTCTACCTTAAACCTAGGAGTTAGTGATAATTATTAAAGACGGATCAATCTTATTAGAACTCAGAGTTTTAGCTTCAATAAAACACTACTTCCTACTATAAATAAAGTCTTAGAGTACCAGGTATGAGATACAAAAATTCTCACTACTCACTTGAATTTTCTCTCTTGACTTGTAATCTAACTTAAGCATCAGTGTCCCTTTGGCCATCTCCGGCCATTAGTTCACCTAGCTCTCGCTTATCTTGTTGGTCATTCAAGGCTTCACTTTCATCACTTTTGTCCACATAAGGTTGTGACCCAAGGTGAAAATATCTCCCTGCACAGCTATGCTGCCTAAATTTTGTATCCCAAAAAACCCAATCCAAATGAGTTGGCACCTTCACATTCTATGAAAAAACTGATTTATTGGGTCCACATAGTGGTGTGTGGGGTGCGTGCCATCTCATTTGGGATGGATTTTTTTGGGATATAAGTTGGTCACCTTAGTATTTCTCTAGATTACCTTTGTTTTGATGACTAACGGTAGAATAATTTCATTTGATCTCACGAATTTTGAAAAAAATATAATTTGGAGGGAAGGTACTAAAAACTCCGGGGCATTCCCTCTCCATATAGAAGGCGAACTTGAATTTATTGCATATTGTGCAAAAGTATGATTAGCAACATTGTTTCCTGATCTTTGTGTCCAAGAAGGCGACCAGAATTCATTGCATAATTGGGCATTGACATGGATCTGATCCAAGAAATTTCCGACAATATGTATGAAGACATGGTCTCTCTGGATCATTCAAAGGAGGAGTTTTATAATGATTGTATTAATTCTTTTCAAGGAAAGATTGGATTAACCGAAACAAGCACACACCAATGAAACAAGCATACGCCAACTAAACGTTATTCCCATAGCACTTGGGGTTATGGGTTTTCAATTTATGAGGGGTAGTATCTAGAATGAGATCAATGGTCGGGGAGAAAATCACTCTTTTAATTGAAGGCACTACTAAGAAATTTTTACATCTTATTTCTACACAAACTCGATTCATAGCCTATCCCGAATCACCCAATCGATCAGAATCTATCCTTTTGTCATTCACACACCTTCACATATTTATTGCATTTGTGGCTAAATTCACCCCTTAAGAACAGAGTCTATGTTATCCTTTTTGTTCCATAGTAATTTACTCCTCAATTTACCCTAGTTCTTTTTTCTTCTCTTTTTTTTTCCCAGAAATTCTACTGCAAGAGCAGGTCCTGAAGAGAGACTATTAAGTTTAAAAAGTATCAAAACTAGATAGGCTTTCTCAAGAGTAATACAGCATCAACATACTAATACATTGACCTGGAGCAATCTGAAACATAAATTTTAAGCAAATTGCCACTCAAACTAGCCACCAACAAATTTGGGACACCTAGGTGTATCATATTTGTCTCAAATATCACTGTTTTTTCGAGAATCAGTATACCAAAGGAGGGAACATTTTCGTGGGGGCAAGACTAGAACCATAGGCGCGGGCCTATCTCCCTTGGTCTCGTGCCATCACTCCTTCAAGTTGACCCAAAACAGTGTCACTTGTTCAGTTTCATCAAAATTGCTTCAGAAAACACCAACAGTTGAGTCTCTACATTCAGTTTGCAGCCTAATGCACACGACAAACCTCAAAATGCACAAAGATAACAGTTATTCGATCAACAAAGAGACTTTAGTTTTCTGACTGCCCAAAATACCTGCCTGAAATTGTTGCTAGAATATTAAGCATAACAACTTCGTCATCCAATTCTGATTTCTCAGCTCGCAAGGTTGCACACTTACGAAGCAAACACCGAAGGGCTGCACTAGTGTCAGCAACAAGTGGAGTATCAATGGCTGCGCACAAAGCAAAAAGCCATGCACAATCACTCCTCAACAGAATACACATATTCTTCACGGAGCTTATGTGTTTCTTCAGCATAGATACTCGAGCAACAGAGTCCATCCCCAAAATCATAGACAATGAGGGACCGTTGCCAGAACCTCCATCTAGAGAAGACTTTGGACTGGAATTTCCAGGGGAGTGTGAGCCATCAGTTTCATCAGCCACAAAGAAAGAACATGGGTTACTGGAGTCTTCTCGTAGGGAACCATTGAGAGAACAGCATGAAGTGGTTCCATTAGTTGTTAAGTCATCAATTTTTTCAAGAACAATACTTTCAGAAAGCTGATGGGAGCATTCCTCTTCATGAGCAACTGACATTGATTGCAGCTGATCAGAAATTACTGCACTAGAACCCTCAAGACGTGATAAAGCCTGAAAAGGCAAAGATTGCAAATTAAGTTATTTCTCCTCGTGCATATAAAGTAAGAATACCCGGTATATAAATATTCTTTCCAATTTTATATTAAAGTTATCTCCTCCGTTCTCACAAAATACAACCATAGTGAGATAAAAATAAAATTTGTGTTTATTCGGGCATAAAATTCATGAAAGCAAAATATTAGATTGTTGTAATTATCCGTCTAATTACCCCCTTTGCAAATAACTTGTTTAAATGAACAGGGCTGTCAAAAAAGGAGGAAAAGGAGCAAGAACATACCAGCCTTAGCTCTGAAAAATCAGCAAGGAAAGCATCCTCCCACTCTTTGAGTGGCAGTAAATGCTCAGGGCACCTAGCAATATCAGGAATCTTGGGCATGTAAACCGTCTGTTCTTTGTTTAATTTGGTTGCATCAACCTTGGCAACCTTCACTTTTGGAAATTGAGCAGCTTCCCACCTAGAAAAAATTAGAACATTTCTTAAGTCTCGGCAAAGATTTGGCATCTTTCACAAAGACCAAATTTTAGCACACTTATACATCTCACTAAGGCCGGAATTACCAGAGTATTACTTCAAACCATCAGAATTCATTGCCCGCAGAAAGAGACTTTTGCTAGGATAAAATAACTTTACAAGAGTCAGTAACAGCTAGCAAAAACATCAAGGACTACTTAAAAATTTTACTATACTGCCTTTAACATTGTTCAACCAGAACAGAGAAATTTGAAACCATGTTCCACTTGTGGAAAATTGGAAGAGTTTGCCTGTACAAATGGCTCCTTGAATTTCATAAACTACTAAAGTTATCAATTTTATCCAATTAAGGGAAGAAGAGGGTTTGCTCTCTACACACTCTGCTTGACATGTGATTGGCCACCAAACCCCTGGTCTGTTTGACGCATGGGACTCTTACACATGTACGAATGTCATCAAAATTTTCTTCTATTTAACTTCTGTTCATTCCAAAAATAACATCAAAAATCACAATTTCGTACTAGGCACCAAAAAAACTTCCAACTGGGGCCGGCCAACTAACTACAAGGCAGTATCATTACCTGGCCAGCAACGTGTGGTCTTTAGGAAATGAAATTTACTAAGAAACGTGCCAATATGTTTTGCAATGCACCGCACCAGATGATTCAGTAAGAGTATTCACTTATTCAAATCTCTTAACATCATTTCTGTTTAATTTGGCATCACAGAGCTGAAGCCTCAGTATAATACTTGAGAAAATGCAACAGCCGTCCATACTTGTCAGCGATCCTCCAATGTAAATCATTCTTTTCAAAAATTAACTATGACCTACCACTCTATGTTCAATTCTCTAGTATCAAATGTTTGATGATTAGTAACCAGTGCCTACTCTTGAATCCTTCCTTTTTGTTTTTCCTGACCAGTAAAAATGGTCAACACTCTCTGTCACCCTAACATTCTTTTTTTTTTTTTTTGAACAAAGTCACCCTAACATTTAAATCACTTATATATCTCCTTTTAACCACATTGTACATGGTGTTTGAAACTGAAAGCAACAAAGTATTGCCAATGTTAAATATATTGGTTCAACTTGCGCACAAAATCAAGAATATCTCAGCATCCCAATTTTACATAAATATTTGTCATACTAAGTTTATCCACCCATCCAGTATCTGTAAATGTTCAATAGAAATAGGAACTTTTTGCAGTCAGTATTCACATAGGATCCAGTGCATTCCAAACCTTGGAACATATTTCTGAAGAGCTCCAGGTTCTCTTAACGCTTCCTTGTAACTACTTACCAGCAAATTTCTGTAGTTAAGTCAGCAAAGTGACAGTAATATTTCCATACCATATTTGGGTATTATCAACAATCAAATCCTCCCATGGAAATACCCAAAGTGATAAGCCGCATAGAAGAAGCTTATTAGTATCAAAAGTCAATATTGCATTAATGACATCCAAATAGACAGAATGAGGGTGAAGTACTTCACAATGGGCACATAAAAACACAGCTGCTAATTGTGTTGGAGTCTCAAGCTTAAAAGTCATTATAAGAACAGCCACATAGTTGCTCCACTTTGTTGCAAGGAAACAGAACAAAACACACTTCTGAGAGACTATTTCTAGGGAAGCAAATTGGACCTGCAACAATAGGTCCCCGGCTAAGAAGCTCGGACTAGAACAAGAACACGGAGACATCGACACAGCACAATTTAAAACACACACACAAAATTAGGTCCCCATCTTAGAAACTCGGATTCGAACAAGAACAAGAACACACACACACACACATTTATATTTCACATGTAGATGCATAAAATATATTTTACACAGACATAAAATCTAATCGTACTAGAAGTAGAGGTAGACTAAAATTAACAGTGAACGAAATAATAAGAAAATATATGAAAATATTTAACTTAAATGAGCATATAGCACATGATTGAAATGAATGACAAAGACAGAGTCATATAGTTGACCCCAAATAATTAGGACATAAGGATTAGTTTGGTTTGGTTTATAAAATCTACATTTCAAAATCCAATGAATAATATTCGATTTTCAGTTCTTCTAAATCAAATAAGTAAAAAACAGCCATTAATAAATGGGTGCTTGTTCCCACGTGCTATTGGATGTAAACAAAGCACCAACCTGCCATCTTCCTTTTGGGGTGGAACATGGTTTAAAGTCAAGGTATTGGTCATCAACTTAGAAACCACTGAAACACATAGATCATGGTGTTGCGGAATGATATCAACTGATACGTATGAAATGATAGATAGAAGGCCTGGTAAAGTCTAAAAAAAATCATGAAAAGTAATAAAAACTGTGAACAATAAAACCCAAACATCACATTTCCAAAATACATCATCTAGCACATTAAATATAGCAAAAATCAAGTATACAGGCGCTGTCAGAGATACTTATCATCATCAGTTTTTAAAGTAAGCATTTAGAAACATACTAAGCCATACTTATTGCCACAATTATTTGTCAAAATAGAATAACGGGTTGAGGCAAGTGCCAAAATTACACCACAATAGGGTATGGGTGTCTAGTTTGAAATTGCAAAAATACAATAGATTAGCGAATTTATTAATAAAATAGACGGTGCAATTGATAGGTTAATTCACTCCAAAATAAAACAAAATAATCAGACCCAAGACAATTAAAAAAATACAATAAAACACTTATTATTATAAGATTAATGCAATTTACAGTGTAAATATTAAGAAACACCATATTTAACAAAACAAAATGGTACAATTGTCCAAAGCAAAAAAAAAGACAAATTTCTTAATACATCAGTCTCGGTGGCAAATAAATTGTTAGTCTTTAGTAGCAAGCAAGCAAGAGAGAGAGAGAGAGAGAGGGGAGAACACATGAGTGGCTTGACAGCCTTACAATCAAGGTTTGAAGCCCGCAAATAAGGAGTCACATCCATGTGGTGATCTCCGATTCTAATTGTACTTGGTACGTGATTTCATTGGTGGGTTTTTCAAAGCACAAATCAATTTGCATGTGGTTTTTGATTGTGTAAAGAGGACTTGTATGTTAACTTTGATGTGGTTTATATACTTGAAGGACCTCTGTACTCGTTGTCAATTGATTTTGGATTAGATACTCTAACATGGTATCAAAATTGGTCCTTAGGTAGTGAATGGGTTAAGTTTCTTTCTTGTTTGTATTTCCCGGTATGTATAGTTGTTTGTTTGTTTGTTTGTTAGCCCCATCTGCGAGATCGGGACCTATGTGAGGGAAGGTATAAAGAAAACTTATATCCCACGTCGAATAATTACAACCACCAAATGTTGGTTTATATGATATGCTTAAAGAGCCTCTCGACTCATTCCCAATTAGTTTCAAGTTAGATGCTCCAACAAATAGATCAACAAAATTATAGAATTAACCATTATTGCTTTCACTAAAGGACAAATCTTTCCTTTTCTTTAGGGTCCGACAGATATTGAAATATTGAGAAAAAGACTCAAGTAAGGCTTAGTCTTCATTGCTTTAGATAGAAAAGGGTAAATATCAATGAAAACCCTCTAGATTGCCCATACTAAAGGGTCACACCCTTGGGTTTATGAAATATTAGTGTTCTCCATTGGAGATCATATCTCCATTTCACCTAGTAATGCAATCATTAGGAACATTAATAACAGCTCAAAAAGTGATCGCATCAAGAGGTATTTTCTCCTCAATATCCATACTATCCCCAAGCACATTATCAAGTTCATTTTTCTTGTTGATCCTTCTCTGCTCTTCTACTCACATACATGCACATAGACATATAACTGTCAATGTCCACAACCATAATATACAAAACAATACACCGCAGAGCCACTTGCCCCCCACCCCAAAAAAGAAAAATAAAAGTAAAATAACACACATACATGCTTCCTTACACAAGAACGAACACAAAATATGTTTGCCTCTACCAGAAACACTATCAGACACAGAACAAACCATCTCGGCTTGTTAGGCTCATTTCTACTCAACATGGCTCTTTGCGTTGTTAAGATTGCATTTATATTTACATTTATTTATAATTAGGGGTACTTTAGTCTTTCTCTTGTAGTAGGATTTTATATAGTGTCTATTGTAAATAGTTATTTTTATGATGGAATATTACATTTCTTCTTACGACAGATTAATGGATTCTTCCCTTTTCTCTTTTTCTTCTCTTTTATCTTCTTTGGTTGATTAATATTTTCATGGTATCAGAATATGTTCCGAATTTAAACAATCCCTTGGACAGGTGCGAATCAAGCCTCTTTGTGTTTGGGCAAGAAATTCGAAAGATTTTGAAGCAATTTGGGGAGAAAATCCAACTGTTCTGCTGCGAAAATCTGGCTCGCTGCTTCTGGTTTGTTGCTTCTAGTTTGCTGCACTGAGAAGATCCTGTTTCGTTGTTGCTGGTTCTGATCTTACTCGACTCTCCTCACTGGTTCCTCTTCTTCTCTCCTTGGCTCACTGGTTTCTCTTCTTTTGTTGGTTTGGCTGAATACCCTGTGCACCAGGGCTCTGTTTGCTGATTGTTTCTTGTTTTGGTTGGCTGTTCTTTGTTGCTTCTGGCTTCTGGTTCTGGTGGCGTCAGCTGCCGTTCTGGTTTGTGAACTCCTTCAACTTGCACAGTGGTGTTGTGATCTCCTTTTGCTTAACTACTGGTAAGCGTGTTGTTGGTCGTCGGTGGGTTTATAAAATTAAAACTAATGTTGATGGTTCAGTTGAAAGATATAAAGCTAGATTGGCTGCCAAGAATTTTGTACAAGAATATAATATTGATTATGAAGAGACATTTGCTCTTGTTACAAAGATGACCACCGTTCGTATATTGCTTGTCATAGCAGCAGTTCGCCAATGGAAACTATTTCAATTGGATGTCAAAAATACTTTTTTGAGTGGTAATTGGCTGAAAAGGTTTTTATGGTTCTTCCCCAAGTCTCCATCACGCTTATGTTGTTCATGTTGTGAGTCAATTTGTCTTTTCTCCTACTACAGTTCACTAGGCTGCAGCTCTCTATATTTTGCGTTACCTACTGGGCACTTTATATAAGAGTTTGTTGTTCTCTTCCACTTCTTCTTTGGAGCTTCGTACCTATTATGATGCTGGCTGCACTGGTGATGCCATAGATCGTAAATCCATAACTAGTTTATGTATCTTTCTGAGTGATTCCCTGATTTCTTAGAAGAGCTAGAAACAAATTGTTGGTGCTCGATCCACTGTTGAGGCTGAATATTGTGCTATAGCTACTACTACGTCAGAGACAATTTGATTGAGATGGTTACTTGCTGATCTCGGAGTTTCTTTTTCTACTCCTACTTCTATGTATTATGATAATAAGAGTGTTGTTCAAATTGCACACAATTCTGTTTTCTACGAGCAAACTAAACATATCGAAATCGACTGTTACTTTTGTGCGCCACCATCTTCTGCTTGGGACTATTTCCTTGCCCTTTGTTTCTTCTACTATGCAATTGGCGGACTTTTTCACCAAGTCTCACACTACATTGTGTTTTCGTTTTCCCTTTGACAAACTCTCGATGCTTCATATTATTACATAATGAGTTTGAGAGAGGGTGATAAGATTGTATTTATATTTACGTTTAATTACCATTAGGAGTATTTTAGTCTTTCTCTTGTAGTAGGGTTTTATCTATGGTGTCTATTGTAACTAGTTATTGTTATGTTGGACTATTATTAAATTTCTTCTTACGACCGATTAATGGATTCTCCCTTTTTTCTCTTTTTCTTCTCTTTTCTCTACTTCGGTTGATTAATATTTTCATGTGCATCTAAGATATTTTCATTGTGTCATTTTTTCCGAGGTTGGATTGGAGCTTGTCATAGCTTTATTTTGACCCACGCTTTGAAAGAAGGGAAAGACAAAACACTCAAATTTACCTTCGTAAAGAATAGAAGTGCAGAAAAGGGAAGGATAACATGCAACATCAACTAAAGGGGGGTTGACCTTCACACGAATACAAATAGTCAATATGTCAACCACTAGCAATGCTACTAGAAACCTACACCTTAGCACACACTCAAACATAGCCACTAATAGCAATACAAAATTGAAAATCACAATTGAATCGGAATTCAAAAATGAATCTTAAAAAAATCCGAAATTAGTTGAATTCGACATCGTCTGCAAATCCATATAGATTAATCTTAATTCGATGATGGCATTCATTTTCCTTCAAAATGGATTTCTTCTGATTGTGTAAATCGAATTCAATTTCTTTGGGTTTGATGAGTGTGCGAAAGTGCATTCTAAATACCCAATTATTTGATTAAAATGTAAAATGTGAATAGAAATAATTAGATATAATTTATATTATTGAATTTAATATCTATTCACACTGATTCACTGAGATATATTTGAGAATGATTTTATCATATTTTAAATCTTGAATATTGTATTATTGGTTGGCGAGAGATAATTTACAATTGGATTTTACACTTAACATTTTTGGGACTTTATTATTGGGCTTTTATATTTGTTTTTTTTATTTATTTTATGGCAGCCCATGGAATAAAAAGGCTGAAATTGATACAGCTGTCAAGTGGGCCCAACAAATAATTTTTATTGGGCTTCATCTTTATCAAATTACACAAGATTTGGACTTTAGGGGTTGAAGTAAGGATGTTGGAATCAAAAGAGGATGAAAATGACTTTTCTCAAGAAAAGGGG